ATAAGGTAAAACCCTAGCCTAAATGTGGACTTTGCTTCAGAGTAACAAACAGAGCAAGGTCACCAGACTCAGAACTCAGGTTCAAAAATATAAACAGTTATTATACCAGAAACAATTAGTTATCATTATATATTGGTATTTTAAATTTTTTAGACCATGCACTAAAGAGAAACCACAGCTGAAACAGGACATTTGATGACTAAAGCCATAAAACTCAAACATAATTGCTAAGTCCAATGCTCCCATGGCGGGAAGAATGCGGGACTTGTGTGCATGTGGCTGAATTCACAGAAAAGAAAGCTAAGTGAGAACTGTGTGCCACAGGGCTAGGAAGTACTCTCGTGGGTCCAAATTCAAGTTCCACCTCAACGGGACACTGCCTCTGCTCAGCTGTCTTCCTGTAAAATGGCTATGACGTTTCCTTGCTCAGTGAGGCACTGTGAACCTCATTCTATTGCCTTTGAATCTTTCAGAGTAGAAATAATTCAGAAGACATTACAAACATAAGTATAAATTAACCTCCCATAATGAAGCCAGTCCAGATAAGAGGGAAACTCAAGTGACTTGCTACTCTCAGGTTTTTCAAAAATAGAACAGTGCCCTCCCTGAGTTCAGGCAAAGTCTAAGTCCTTCATGTTCCAATTGTAGGTTACATGCTTAGTGACACATTGAGACTTCCATTTTTCATCATCCCAACTAGGCTTCCTAGCCAGCATCAGCAAATGATTTTTAAAAATAGGCTCCTTAAAATGAGACTCATTCTAAAACTGGAAATTATTTTTCAAATACCAGATAAAGTCTTGGTGTGGAGTAAATTGGAGTATTCAATGTCAAGAAAAGTGCCTGATGATGCATTTCTTATTTATAGTAGAAAGAAGTAAGCAGGAAAGTGCTCAGTAACCCATTTAAATAACTAAACAGAAGCCCCTGATTCCAAGATGTACCAATTACCTCCATCTCTGACTCCTAGGGCATCATATGAAACTACAGTTCAAAGAATTTTCCCCGCATTTTTAAACAATGATGCATACATGCAGGCCATTCATACAACATATCAGACAGCAGTGTTTAAATTACCCCATAAATGTTTAGGGTTTTAAATATATATGTATGAAGTATTTATTTATAGATCTAAAAGTATCAACTATTACTGCTTTGCCCTTATTTATGTTCCCCACAAGCTGGCCAACTACAAACTTTTAAAAGGAATTTGGCTTAAAAGATTTTGTGTGTTTGGCACTGACTATGGGTGTTAATCATTTCTGAGCTCACTTCTTTTTCTCTTCTGTTTATAATATTCTTTGGGAACTTCAAAACAGAAACCTGTTTCCTTATAGATTCTGCTTCCTCTGCAGTACTGTGTAAATTAATTTGTCCTGGATTGTTGACTATACTGTACAGTTGATAGCGCCAATCATTTCTATTTAATTTTTGTAGGAAAAAACATAAACATAGCAACAATGTGTTGAGGTTTTTCTGTTTTGGTGGGAGGGAAAAATATGTTGGGAAACACTGACATAACCAAAAAAAATGTTAGAAAAATATATAAAGCCAATTAAATTTAAGCAAGTGCAAAATCGCTATTGTTGGGAACCAAATTCATTGAAAAATTAGATGAATAACATTTCTACCCTAAAGAAAGAGGTGTTATAAATTATACTTCAGTAGATATTACTTCAAAAAATGAAAGCGATTTACAGCCAGGCACGGTGGCTCATGTCTGTAATCTCAGCACTTTGGGAGGCCGAGGCGGGCGGATCACGAGGTCAGGAGTTCGAGGCCCTCCTGGCCAACATGGTGAAACCCCCGTCTCTACTAAAATACAAAAAATTAGCCATGCATGGTGGTGCGCGCCTGTAGCCCCAGCTACTTGGGAGGCTGAGGCAGAGGAATCTCTTGAAGCTGGGAGGTAGAACTTGCAGTGAGTTGAGATTGCACCACTGCGCTCTAGCCTGGGTGACAGAGTGAGATTCCATCTCAAAAAAAAAAAAAAGAAAGAAAGCAATTTACTTCTTTCTGGATTATTGTTTAAGGAAGAATATGTGCAATTAAGGTAACCTAATATTTTAGTAGAAAGTCTTAAACTCTACTATCTAGTGTGAGGAATATTAGAAACTAATTGTTTATTCACATCCCTTATTCACTGATCCTCCTTGAAATACTTTACTTTTCTGCTATTAGCATCTGCATTGAGCCTACTAAATGATGCACAAACAGACTGCCCAAACTTGGCAAATCGTAATTTTCTTGTTTCTTCCACAAGCTAAAGTTTCTACCCTTGGTCATGGGTACCAGTGGAAAAAGGCATATACGGGAAGAGCTGTGCTCCTTTTCCCTTCTTATCATGAATATGCCATCAAATATAATCCAAATACAGGCACTGAAACTTAGCTTTTATAAAATTTACCACTAATAAATCTTACTAATTACTCTGCAGGGAAGATGACGGAAATAATCACAGGATTGATTTAGAGATATTATGAAAATATGTTGGAAGCTTTAAGAATTTAAAAATGTTTTTCTTATATATAATACAAACAAAGTATGTACATATATATTTTACAATATTGAGATCACGCTGCCTATACTACCTGGTATCCCTTGCACTGGCTATTCCCTCTGCCTAAAACTCTCCTCCACATCTCCACGTGGCTAGTGGTCTCACTCCTTCAAGTCTTTGCTCTAATATTGCCTTTACAAAGAGGCCTAATTTGGATTATTCCACCTATAATCACAATACGGCCCCATTCTAGAACTCTAAATGCCCTTGTCCTGTTCAATATTTATTTTGGCTGTAGCACCTGTTATTTTCTAATGTACTACATAATTCATTTGTTTATTAAGGTTTTTATTTATGATCTGTCTCTTTGCCCCTCCCCAACTACAATGTAAGTTCTTTGAGGAAACATAAGTTCTATTTTGCCCACTGGTGATACTGCTTAGCACACAGTAGGTACTTAATATCTGTTTTATTAACTAACTTAACTGCAAATTCTCTCTACATTAGACTGCATTTTCTATGTCTCTGAAGGTTCTTCTAAAACATCATGCTTGAGTATGCCACAGTTTATATAAACATTCCCAAATAGCAAACATTTCCATTATTTTCAGTATTTGCTATTATAAATAATGCTTTGATAAACATCCTTGTACATGTCCCTTTTACTATTTCCTTAGGATTTATCTCTAGATCTAGAATTCCTGAAAGGCAGTTATATACATTTTTAGAGCTCTTCCTACGTATCACAAGCTCACTTCTAAAAAGTTTATACCAATTTATACTATCATTAACACTGTAAATGTCTCTAACTACATCTTCCCCAGTATTAAATATTACCTTTAAAATATCATCTTTAAACATTCGTTGTGCCAATTTTGGCATCTTAATGTTTTAACTTGGGATTTGCAGATTTTTATGAAAATTTTTATGTAAATTACAGATCTCCATGTGAGTAAAAACAGAATAAAATCATGGCCCAGGCACAGTGGCTCGCGCCTATAATCCCAGGACTTTGGGAGGCCGAGGCGGGTAGATTGCCTGAGTCCAGGAGTTTTGAGACCAGCCTGGGCAATATGGTGAATCCCTGTCTCTACAAAATATACTTGGAAGGATGAGGTGGGGGAATTGCCTGAGCCCAGGAGGTTGTGGCTGTAGTGAGCCGAGATTGCACCACTGCACTCCAGCCTAGGCAAATGCCATGAGACCCTGTCTCAAAAAAAAAAAAAAAAAGAAAGAAAGAAAGAAAGAAAAAGAAAAAATCAGAAATCCCAATGTGTTGACCATTTCAAATCAAACAATATAAAATAGATCATGATGAGGCAGAGGCACAGATTATCCAACCATAGGCAGGTGATAGATCAGACTGGGAGGCAATCCTCCCTTTAGTTTAAACAACTACATATCGAGTTTGTTCTTAGGAAACTAAACATAATTAGCGATAATATTGGCATTTGGTCTTATGCCTTTTATATCAGGTTAAAGTTTTTCCCATATATCAACCCATTTATTCTAACAGCATTGCAAAAATGAGAATTAAGTTATTCAAGTGTTTGCTTAACCTAATGCTCTGATAGCAGTATACCTATGCCTAATTCCTGTCCACCTGACTGCAATACCAGTCCACCTGGCACTGAAGCGACTGCATCTGTGGTATAATCTCTTCAGTCTTTAGGGAGGCTCAAATTAGAAACCAGGAAATAGATTTCTGAAAATTTAGTCATAAAACTTTACACTTCTCCATTTGTGAGACAAATCATGGGAAAATATGTGAGGTTCAAATTGGCAGAGAGCAATCAGTCTCTTCCTTTTTTCTATAACAAAATGTTGAATGAAATACATTTATAATATCACTTTTATTAAATCTCCTCTTCATAGGGAAGAAAAAAATGGCCCTTTAGTACTGTGTCAGGCACTTTACAGACATCATTTCAACCTCACAGTAATGAGAGGGAGACATTATTACGTCCATTTTATAGATATGGGAACCAAAGCATAACGAGACCAAGGAACCACGGTCACGCAGCCAGCAAATAGCAAGGCTGGGATTTCAGCATAGCCCCAAAACCTGTGCTGTTTTTTTTTAAATTGCATTGCTCTACTTGATTATAGATATTATTTGTTTAAGATCAGAATTCTGTGCCAGGGGCTAGTAACCAAAGACCTATGTGTAAATGATTCTGCAGGGCTTTGGCAGAGCTGTGCCATGAGAAATGTGTTTCTTATGCTCACCCACCTTTCACTCCTTGGATATCTAGTATTTTGGTAACTGCTTAAGTTATTGATTGACCATCAAAATGTGACCTTACATGGTTTAATTTGTGGCCCCCAACAGATGTTTGAGAATGAAACAACTGAGACTCAAATAAGTGACACTAGGATGCTGGAAATGCAGGCAACAAGGAGGAGTTCCACCTTTTCCTGATACATCCCTTAGGGGTGGGGCAGGGAGAGAGGGCAGGAGTGGCAGAGAGAGGCAAAAGTTGATGAGAGCCAGGGGAAGGAATAGTTTCTTTTCCCAGTCTTTAGTCTCTGTATTCTAGAAGTCCGTTATTTAGAAAAGATGTTTTCCAGGGTTCCTCTAGAACTGATTTCCAGCTGTAAGTACCAACTTGGCTACACTGATATTTAAGTATTGAAAGACCTTTCTACCAGCTAGAAGTGATCTCTCCCTAAGTCCTCCCTCCCCAGGTGTCTCCATCACACCCCAGGGCACACCCCACACCATTCACAGATAGGGGCCTCCAGGACCCTGCCCCAGTGCCAGGAGCTATGAGCATTCTTTTCATCAGTGATCACATTGCAGGGCTAATGATATATCTTGAATATCCCTTCTGGGGGCCCTCATCAAATACCTGACGGGTGCTTCTAGGCTCACAGGTTAGCTTAACAGGGCCCGGGTGAGAGTAACAGCAGAAAGGAGAGCCTCACCCATTTAAGAAGTAGCCACTCCTATAACTCTTCCTGCATTAAGAGGGTGTGACTCAGAAAGGGGACCTCAAGTTTAAAAAAAAAAAAAATACAGAGCAAAGCAAAAACCATGCTCAGAACCTGTTAAACCACATCTTCGGGCAGGGGCAGCTCCCAGGTCAGGCTAAAGAGCACTGAAATCTCTCCTCGTGAACCAACCCAGCTGCTTCCTTCTCTGGACAAGACTACGCTTCTCAGGCAGGTCAGCTTCGCCAAAGAGAAACACGCTACAGCTAGGAACATGCCGCACCAGATCCTCAGCAAAGCCTGTAGCAGAGGGAATTTTAACCAAAGAAAATCACAATCAAGCCAAATCTTAAAAACCAAAGCATATAGTTTTTTTGCTGTAGTAAAACATATTTAACATAGAACTCATCATTTTAGTCATTTCTAAGTGTCCAGACCAGGCATGAAGTTGCACACTGTTGCACAAGCATCACCACTAAAGCACATGATTTATACAAATTTTAAACATCAAAGCTTAAACATAATGAATGTTCCATTGAAGTTAATCTCACAATAAAAGCTTGCCTTGATACAAGGAGACTTGAATTTCTAACCCATGGCAAAGCTAATTTCACAGTGGAAATGTATATGTAGGATTAATGAAATTAGTGCCTTCAATTTTTGAACAATGTTATAATAGTCCCAACTTGTAAATATTGTCAGAAGGTATAAAAAGTTAGGAGGGCAAGGGCCAGTAACCACACTGTCTAATATAGCAGCCCCCAGCTGTATGTGCTATTAAAAATTAATTCTAATCAATTAAAATTTTCGTTAGGATTTATCTCTAGAACTAAAATTTTAATCGATTAAAATTAAATAAAATGGGCCAGGGAAGTGGCTCATGCCTGTAATTCCAGTACTTTGGGAGGCTGACACAGGAGGATAGCGTGAAGCCAGGAGTTCAAGAACAGCCTGGGCAACATAGTTAGACCCCTATCTCTACAAAAACTAAAAAAAGAAAAGAAAAAAATGAAAAATGAAGTTTTTTAGTTGCACTTGTCACATTTCAAGTACTTAATAACCACACATGGCTAGTGGTCTCCATATTGGACAGCACAGATAAAGAACATTTCCATCACCACAGAAAGTTCTATTGGACAGCTCTGAGCCAGATGCTCTATAAGGAAGCCTAATATTTAAACAAAATTGGAGATTACTCCAAATGACAGAACATTTTTCATCTTCCTCTGCCATTCTTCATATCTGGATTCTCTGGATATGATTTTATCTTCTCAAGGCAAAATATAGAATTGCTGGGCTTTTCTAGATTACTCCTTCACAGGACCTCTGCTTGTTTTCTAGGAGCTAATTATAGTACCCTGTAAGCAAGCACAGAGATGGCATACATTTTGTCTGATATACGGAATATAGGTGCTAAGGGAATTCTGGTGCTGGCTTGGGATAGCAGGAGTGCAGGCCTTCTTTATTTGTTACATATCATGGATCATCAAAATAAGGGCTGAGATGAGACTTCTGGCCACAATAAGCATAGGAGACCGTCCCAACTGCAATTTCAGGGTTTATTATTTGTTTAATTCTAATGCAGGCTGCCATGTTAATGGAAGAAGTGAAATGTGGAAGACACCGAAAAAACATTTGGTACCACTGGGGTGTAAAAAGTCTTAGGAAATGTTTTGGTTTTGGTGAGTTTTTTGTTTGTTTGTTTGTTTTTTGAGATGGAGTCTCGCTCTGTTGCCCAGGCTGGAGTGTAGTGGTGCAATCTTAGCTCACTGCGAACTCCGCTTCCTGGGTTCAAGCAATTCTCTTGCCTCAGCCCCCGCAAGTAGCTTGGATTACAAGCACGTGCCACCATGCCCAGCTAATTTTTTTTTT